CACATATTATGAAAGAGATAGAATCACTTGCTAGCACTGCATGGATATTGTGCTCCTTTAATCCACTTCGCACTCACTCAAGAGTAAGGAGGACAATACTTGAACTATGCGAGGAGTTTCTGTTACCCTGGCAAGTATGTTTATTAAAAGATTGTAAGATATTGTTTGTCTTTTTGGTCATGAACAAAGAAAATAGACAAAAAAAATTTATTTTTCTTTTTATTTTTGGTAAAAGGATAACCCAAATAGGTGGTCCTAACTAATTTAAATTTTTCTAAAAGTTCCTCTCTCACTCTTTAGATTTTCACTCCTATATTTTCATTGCAAATACTGATTTTTGGTCATTTATGCGTAATCACAGGGAATAGGCGGCGTAGGAAGTGTTGCAGCTGAGATGCTAACTAGATGTGGTATAGGTCGACTTTTGTTGTATGATTATGACAAAGTGGAGCTTGCAAACATGAATAGGTTGTTCTTTCGTCCAGATCAGGTGAGTATCCAAATATTCATTTTCTTGTTTTAAATTTAATTTTTTATATATTTATCATTTCCAGAAATTATGTCTTGAAAGTAAAATGGATAGTCTCACGAGTGATTTCTAACATAAATCGTATCTCGATAGTCAAAGTAGGGATGTGAAAATTTGATGCTAATGGCTAACTGTCAGATCAGACTTTTGTACAAACCAAATTATATATTTTACATTCAAAAGTTCAAGAAGTTTACTATATCCATACCATAATCTCTTAATTTAATTTGTGTTGACTTTTTAGGTTGGTATGACAAAGACCGATGCAGCTGTACAGACTCTATCAGATATAAACCCTGATGTTGTGCTTGAGGTAAGTATTTGCAGTGTTTGTAGCGTGTGGTACTTTTCATACATCTATGTTATTATTAATATGAATCTTTATATGCACTTTTGTGTATTGGTGTTTTGTTGATACTCTTTCCTTGCTGATATATTTCCTTTTCCTTTTGATTTAGAGCTATACACTGAATATCACTACAGTCACAGGCTTTGAAACCTTTATGTCAAGTTTGTAAACAAGGTGGTGGTGTGGATCTGGTCTTAAGCTGCGTGGATAATTATGAAGCAAGAATGGCTGTTAACCAGGTAGTTATAATTTTTTTCAATTAAAATGGAAAACTTTTTTCTTTTTGGTTTGTCCTAGGAATCCTCATGTCTGACTAATTTCTATGAGCACTGGAGGCATGTAATGAACTGAGCCAAACATGGTTGGAGTCAGGTAAGCAAGAGGATTTCAAAATCTCTTTCTTCCCTTGTAGTGATACTCTTGGACTTGTTTTTGAAATGAAAGATAAAATACTCAAACTTCACCATCTTTATCAATATGTCCAGAGTAGTAATATGAAAAGAATCTATGGTACTCAAAGATATAGAAAATAAACATGCATCTCGTAAATATTCCACTATGTTAAAAAATTGCCTTTTGCAGATGTTTTCTGGTGCTATAAAAGTATACATACCTTCATAACTATATGTATCTATGTGAGTGTATATGCTGGCATATGTTTTATCATATGTCGGTATTTAATATATTCTATATGCAAATTACTTAATGAATAGAACTTAGTTGACTGCATAGTTTATCGTCATGATTCATTGGCCAATTCGTCATGGTTATTTTGCATTTTTGGATGTATGAAGTATGAACGATATTTTTTGCGTGGAAACTAATATGAAATAAAATAATTTGAACAGGTGTTTCTGAAGATGCTGTTTCTGGCCATATTCAGTTACTTATTCCTGGTGAAACTGCCTGTTTTGCATGTGCACCTCCTCTGGTATGGCTGTTTATTATCTGAATTTGAGTATTATTCACAAATGAAAATGAATGGCATTAATGGATTAAACTTAATTGAACATGATGGTATGTGAGGTTTATGAAGTTCAGCCATATGATTTGTAATCAGTGGGCTATTTAATCCCAAAATATAAAAAACTGTGAGACTAATGACGATGTGGCTAAATCTATTGTTACATATCGCTACATCCACCTTTCAGTAGATGTGAAATTTTTATGCGGTATGTACAAACATGTGAAGCATACAATTGTTTTCCTCTTAGGTCGTTGCATCTGGGGTAGATGAACGTACGCTCAAGCGTGAAGGGGTTTGTGCTGCATCTTTACCCACCACCATGGTAAACTATAGACATATATTAAATTGGCTGCTTTTCTTCTTTATAATTTAAAATTTAAATACATTGTTAAGGAACTATTTTTCTTTTCACTTTTCAATATTCTGGATCTGGTTGCTTGTATTTCTTTTTAAATTAACATTTTCTACTATCTTTAGGGGCTTATTTATTTTTTCTTCACTGTTTAGAATGTGCAGCGCACTTTTAGTTTATTATTATCTGACATCAGAAAATCTTATGTCATTTCGCAGGGGGTTGTTGCTGTCCTTCTAGTCCAAAACACACTAAAATTCTTGTTAGGTTTTGGACAAGTCTCTCCATATTTGGTAAGTACTGCATTGATGTTCCCTCTATTCTCCTTTTCTGAGTTGCAAATTGTTCCTTACATTTTCAAAAACAAAAATAAATAAATTGAATTTTATTCCTCAGAGGAATCTGGGGAGGCTACCAGCCTACCACAATGAACTGCATATTCTGTCATTCTTGAAAAATACATTAACTGTGTACTGGTATGCTCACTTCTGTTTGTTTGTCTCTAGGGATATAATTCTCTTACGGATTTTTTCCCAACTATGCAAATGAAGCCAAACCCACAATGTTCAAATGAAGCTTGCTTGAAAAGACAGGTAAGTTGTTTTTAATCATGCCCTTGTTGGACAAATTTGATTTCATTAATAAACTCATATGGCTCCATCCAATTATGGAACTAAAAATGTTGTGCAGGAGGAGTACATTCTTGCAAAACCTGCAAGAGATGCTGCCGCCAAAGCAAAAATGGAAGCTGAAGCACTATCAACTGAGGAAGGGCCACTTCACCATGATAATGACTGGAATATAACGTGTTTAATGATCTTTTTCCCATTCACTTATTTATTTTATTTACTTATGCATAAGAAGATGTGAAATTGTTTCAGTTGGAATAGAATTAATTCCTGATGGTTGCAATCATTAGTGAAACGACCATATAAAATCAAAGTTTATATTTCCTTTCTTGAAATCTTAGCCTCCACATTTAGTGATGATGCCCCCTTTTGTATTAACTTTCCAGTGTTGTTGATGATCGTGAGCTCGATGGTCCGGATACCAGAAGTTCAGGTATTTACTTAATTGTATTCTATTCATATTGATAAGCTTGGAGAATTTATCCTTTCCTAAAGGTCATGCATTCGAATCCAGAAAACATCTTTTTTGCAATTATGTAAGGGTAAGGTTGCATACAAAGATTGCCCACACCCTACTTGTTAGTCTGAGTTTAAAAGTGATTTTTTTCTTTTATTAGTGAACTAAAGTATCACATGTCTTTCTGTGGAAGAGGGTTTTGTTGTTATTACTGGATGATTGAGGAAGTCAAAAGTGCTGGCACCAAAAATTGCACGACCCCATTTTTTGTGGACTTGCATTCAATTAAATATTTTGCATTTGTTATACTGACTATAAAGATGCGTATGTTGGTTTCCTAGTTCGTTGAATCATGTTGGGAAATTATACTCTTAGCTATGGGAGTGTTCTTTAATCCAGCTCCTTCGTGGAAATGTTTTCATACAAAATGCTTCTTTGTCTCTAGCACCTTCAATGCTAAAACAAAAATTTCTGTCCAATTATAACATTCTTCCATGTGGTGGAGTGAGGGTGGGGTTAGGGTGGACAATCGTCTAAAAAGTTTATACAAGCCTTTAATTGTGAGTATCATTTCTATTTTTTTTAGTCATATAGATGGTTGTAGCTTAAAAAGAAGAATATACGTTGAACTTCCGCTCCCCTTATAAAATTTGCTGGCTCTGCAAAATCTGGTTCGTTTGTCTTTGTATGGATATGCTTTATTGCTGACGACAATATTAGTTGGGAAAGCACTTTTACCGTTCTTGCTGAAGGGTTCTGGATCTGTTTTATTTCTATTGCGCATTTTCAATCAATATTTGAATTAGTAACCCTCCTTTCCCCAAAATCTATTTCAGATGCTCTGCCAGAAGGTCTCACACATGAACTTCCTAGTGCAGACGAGTTCCGTAAGGCAACTCATGAAGCTCCAATAGTTGACAATGATGACCTTGAAGATCTCCGTAGGCAACTTGAAGCCATTAATTCTGCTTAGTGTTATAGTGTCAGTTATATTTTTAATTATTGACAAAAAAATCCCTTTTAGGTTTTATTTGTTCAAATATGCTGATTTCTCAAAATTTTGTTTTGCTGATCTTAGTTTGTTTGTTTGAATAATATATCTTGCATAATTCGGAAAGCGGTTCTTATGTATACTGAAGCAAAGGTGCTCAATTCATCATATAAAACTAGCTCGGCATATCGGCATATTGATAAAGCATGTAATTTTGGTTCAATGATACATTATGCTGACTTATATGCTGCCGCCAATTTTTTCTAAGAAAAAAAAAGTTAGGCTTTTGCTACCATTATACAATACGAAGATGTGATTTCGTTTCGTACTGATAAATCTCTACTGTGACATTGTTATTCAGAACCTTTTTAACTGAAGCTTGAATAGCGTTCTCCGCATCTTTCATTTTCACATGTTATTGATTGCAGCCACAGTATCTCTGCTATTGGAAGGATCTATCTCTAAACATTTTCTTGAAAACATAATATATCTAATGGGGCAAGTATAGATGGAGTCCTCAAGATAGACTCCCAGATGGTTTACTTGTTTTCTACTTTGTTTTAAAACGGTTTTGCATATAGCATGTTTAATTTGCACTATACTCGCAGAGGTCCAATGTTGAGACCTTAGATGGGGTTTAATTCAGGCTTGCAGCAAGAGTGCACAAAGTGATAAGAAGGGCCAAAAGGTGTTGACTGTTATCATTGTTGCTTATTCGGTTTGTGGAGAAATTCAAATATAAGAACGCTTCTGCAATATTCAGAATCGATAAAGCCATCATCCAGTAACTTTGAAGATAATGACTAAAAGACTGTAAATTTATATCAAGCTTCAAAATCTAGCGCTCCTTAAACTTTAGGTGAATTTCATTCATCAGTGGCTGATGTTTCCTGACCTGCATATTAAGGTGAAATTCACATTAAAGTTGTATACAAGATCTTCTACAGATTGGTTAGAATACTAAATACAGATATAAGGAACTAACAAATGCAGAAATTAATTAAGTTGAATCAGTGTAAGTATTCCAAAGCCAACTGAATTCAGTGACGATAATATACATCCAGAAAAATTTGGAAAGCAGGCTTACCTTTACACCAGCCAATGAAAGTAGCTTGTGGGAGGCAATATATGCAATATCTGATTTTTCTAACCTCTTCTCCACAAAATAAATTACTTCAGAAACTCCTGACTGCAAGAAAGAATTTAAACATGTTATGTAAGCACCACTTCTAAAGAATGAATAACAAGACGAAGTTAAATATACAGGGGTGCACGGTTAGGCTTGGTTTTCTATACCGAACCAAATTAGAAAATTGGTTTAGTTCGGGCAAACCAAATCATATTTGAAAAGTGGTTCGGTTCTTGAATCGATTTGGAGAAAATGATTCGGTTTTTAAATCAATTTGAAAAAATATGGTGCGGTTCAATTTGCTTCGCAATTAAGTTTAGTTCATTTGGTTTTTTAACACCTAAAAATGGGTATAGTTCGGTTCAATTCAATTTTTAGCCCAAACCAAACCCAATTGGTAAAGTTGTTTTGTTCTTAAACGAAATTTGGTTTTGAAAGAAATTTCAATTTTTGAACTGATTCGAATAAAATGGTTCAATTCTTGAATCAGTTGAAGAAAAAAAAAGTAATTCTTTTAGTGTGATTTGGATCAGTTCACAATTCAATTCATTTGGCGTTTTTGTACACACCTAATTAAAGATGCCTCACGCATGTAAAAGTAGTGGTAATGCCAAAGATCCTTCCAAATTTTTATCAATCGATCAGGATCAAATATGATTATCAGCTAATACAAAGCTCATAAACCATTGCGATTTCTATCATATCAACTTATCAATAAAAAGCACTTGTACATGTTCTTTAAATCATGTTACGCACCCCGCAAAACAAGGCTACCAACCTGGATTATGATCTTAGCACATTCATTGCAAGGAAACATGGTCACATATAACCGCTGCATGAATTAAAAAAGAGAAAAGAGGAATCTCTTAGCATCAGGTGGTAAAAAACAAAAACCCTGTTTCAGAAGTTCATATGCGAACTAAGAAATTTCTTTTATGCGCTAACTGGTAAAGTCCAGGTGGAAATTACCAAAGAATACCAGAAACTGCAATATTTTAAATCAAACGAAGTCACTTAAATGATATGTTAACTAGAGAGAGTGCATTGGAACTCACTTGTCCAGCAGCAGAGGCATGATTTTTGTTAAGAATAGCATTTACTTCTGCATGGCAAACATAACTAAAATAGACACAAAGCATGGTAAATACAATGATTTGAGCAAGGACATTATTAAGCCACACAAAATGCATCTCTTTGAAACAAAAGCATGATTAATGTTTCAACGAGAGTGAATATAGAAAGGCAAAACACTCACGGGTACTTGGTCTCCAAAGGATCCCCAGTCCTGGATTTCTGAAACATATATAGAGATTTTCAAATAAAAATATTTAAACAATACTTAAAAAAACTAAACTCATTCTTTTTTTACCCCTCCTCCTTCCTTAAACACCAACCTTTGCCCAGGGTAGCTTGTCATCAGAACAACCCCTTGGAAATCCATTATAACCAATACCTGACACAAGAAAAAGCAAAATCAAAAACCTGTGTGAATTTCACAGAAGAAAAGAAATGGACAGGAGAACCAAATGAACTTACCAAGAATTATACCCTCTTGACTCACCAAGCAAGCCCCCACCTACAATAATAACCAGCAGCAACATCTAATCATAAGTTTTAAAACCTAAACCAAAAATTAAAATATAGAGAAAATTTGCAGAATGAAATATGACCTGCCTGTTAGGGTCTTTGGATCTTTCAGCTGACAGAAATGCAATTGCCATGAAATAGTCATCCCATGACAAGTACCTATATTTGTTAAAATTATAAAAATTAAATTAAAAATTTCAACTTTAATTAAACCCTGCAAATTGCAATTACTACTAACCCTTTGCGCTTGGAGGGGTCGAAAGGGTCGTTACAAGAGGAGACGGTGCCGTTTTGGGAGGGATTGGTCTTGGATGGATGCTTTTGTGAGCGGTAGAAGAAGCGGAGAGCGATTGCAGAGGCCAAGGCACCAAAAACAGTTGCCGTAACCACAAGAGTAGCCTCCCGAGAGTTCATGGAGTTTCCAACTTTCCAACACTTTCTTTCACTTGTGTTTTTGGATGATGAATTCAACCGTAAACACCAACAATTTACGGTTTCAGGGTTAAATTTGTCAAATCAAATTAAAAAATTACAACAAAAAAAAGAGAGAGAAAGAAGATAGTTGAAAACGGCAAATTGCGCGGGAAATTTGCGAGGGAATTCAGTTTATACTATATTATATTATATATAGCCATTGAATAAATCCATAACACAAGTTATCCATAGCATCAAGAGACAAAGTTGAAGTGCTAATGTTCCCTATGTGTCGGCCAAACAGCATTTGCATATTTTTATTTATTTTTTTCACATTCTGTAAGCTCACATTGTCAAAGGACATATTTTGCAATTATACATCAGTTTATATAATATTCAAGTCAATCTGTTCAAGAATAACATTGACCCCATCAAACCTTCACTCTAAGAAAACATGCATGCATACTTTATGGGTAACATGAAATGGACCATGCACACATGCTTGCCTATGTGTGAGTGCGTAATATTTGGTGGCTGAAGTAAGTGAGACACTGTATCTAAATGGTTTAATTGGCTCGATGATGATGATGATGAAGAATTGATTTCATAATCTATGCAAACTTACGAATTTTGTACTCATCTCCTTATGTTGGATTCATGAAAATTGCATAGAACCGTGAAGCGACTCTAATTGAGCTGCATGGATAATGCTAAGCTTAAGATTTCTTCTGGTGGTATTATCTGTGCTCCTTGTCTTTATTTAGATTGCAATTAGTGAGGGATTGAAATGACAATTTATTGTATGTCAATTTAATAACACAGGATGTATGGCTGCTCTAGATGTTTATGTCTTACTCTGTTTGAATTGAAAGAATGATGGTTTTAAATCGATTGCTTGTGAATTTTGCAAAATTCATGCTCTATATTATTTTGAACGTTGAATGATTGGTTGTCAGTGGAATTCGATTCAGCCGTAGAGGTAAAAGCCACCTACGCAATTTTTTTGTTGATGTTAAAACCCTCTTAATGCTAAAATTAATTGTTTGGATAGTTTGAAGGTGTAATTATAATTAAAAAAATGTAATATGAATAAGTGAATGAGTTGATAATGTTTGCCTTGGCTGCAATTAATAGTAATATTGGGATATATTATGAATCAATAAGCTTTCATGAATGTAAATATTAGATTTGAAGTTGTAGTGCTATAAACCCTAATTATTAGTATTAGTAAAACTCTTTAAATTTTGAGGACAAAATTTAAAAAGGTGGGAAGAATTATAACATCCTTATGATTTGTGGGATTAATGAAAATGTCATGATTTCCAATTATTTGAAGTTAAATTCCATTGAGCTATAGATGTATAACGTTAAACTGGACAATAATATTACTGAAGACCAGTTAATTTTAGTTTGAAATTGAATCTTGTTTAAAAATTTAATTTGACTTGTATAACCATTACTTGATACTTCTTGTTGTGTTGAATAGATATTTTCCTCAAGTTTTGAAGACAAAATTTTTAAAAGGTTAGGAGAATTGTGGGAAATGGAATAACAAGAATAGATCAAGTATAAAAGAAGAAGAGCTTTTAATATATAAATGAGTAAATAACTTTTTGGGTCCTTAACAAAAAACACGGTCCCCACTTTAGTTCCTTACAAAAATAAATTAGTCAGTTAGTCCCTAACAAATTCAAAGTAGACCCATTTTAGTCCTTTTGAGGGACTAATATGAGTCTTTTTTGAATTTGTGAGGGACCACAATTTTAACTAAATGGGTCCACTTTGAATTTGTTAGGGACTAACTGAATAATTTATTTTTGTAAGGGACTAAAGTGGGGACTGTGTTTTTTGTTAGGGACCAAAAAAGGTATTTATTCATAAAAGTTTCACTCAATAACAAAATATTACAACACTAATTTCTATTTGTATTTCTCACAATCTCTATTCTTTTTCTCTCAAATGTATCTAATACCTTTTTTTTCTCACACTTTTTTCACACTTTCTATCTTTCTATTCATACATCTAAATGTCTAACATACAACACATATATATAGATACACATGAAAAGTTCAACTTGTACCTGACAACCTAATACAACCACTAGTTTCCACCTCCTTTGACTATTCTTACTTTATAGGCTTCAAATTGGTTTTGACAACTTATAATAGCCACACACTAAGTACAACTCATATATAGATAAGGTTTCATTATGCTTCTAGTTTAATGTGTAGATAAGGTTTTCAATTTATCATGACTTTGCAATGGATAGAGTGTAGCTCACATTTTTCCATAAGTTTCCACAAGCTTCCTTAAATTTTTACAAGCATCCATAAATCTCTACAAGGTTCCATAAATTTCTAGATTGGTGGTGGAGAAATTCAATTTGAATTTGAATTCTTTGGTGGTGGGAAGGAAGTAAAAGAAAAATTGAGTTTGAATTCTAACACTCCCCCTCAAACTTGATTTTGCATACCAATCATATCTTTGAGTTTGTGAAACACCTCTACTTTCAATGGCTTTGTGAAAATATCTGCAAGTTGTTCTTCAGTTCTGCAATAGACTAATTCTATAACTTTATTTTTAACTTGCTCCCTAATAAAATGGTACTTTGTGTTGATATGCTTGCTTCGACCGTGGGAGATTGGATTTTTTGCAAGTGAAATTGCAGGCTTATTATCCACTTATATAGTGATTGGACCTTCTTGCTTCTGATGCAACTCATTCAAAATATTCTTCATCCAAATTGCTTGACACATGCATGTTGCTGCAGCTATATATTCTGCTTGGCATGATGAGAGCAACAATTTGTTGTTTCTTTGATGATTATGAAAATATTGCTGAGCCAATGTGAAATGCATATCCTAAAGTGCTTTTTCGATCATCTATGTTTCTACCATAATCACTATCGGAATAGCCAATTAACTTTGATTCTTCAAAATGCGTATAGAATAAGCCATGATCAATGGTACCTTTGATGTATCTCAAAGTTATTTTTGCTGCCCTAAAGTGATCTTGCTTTGGTTGCTCCATATATCTGCTAACTAGGCCAAAACATGATATCTGGTCGAGTGAAAGTCAAGTACCTCAAGCTTTCTACCAGACTCTTGAATAGTGTTGAGTTTATTGGTTCTTTATCTGAGCCTACTTTCAACTTCATTCCTACTTCTATTGGTTTGGATATAGGCTTGCAATTTTCCATTTTGAACTTACTTAGTATCTCTTGTGCATATTTCTTTTGTGACATAAAAATTCCTTCCTCCATTTGTCCAACTTCAACTCCAAGAAAATTAGACATCTCTCCAATATCTGTCATTTCAAATTCTTTAGTCATAACTTTCTTAAACTCAACCAACATGCCTGGATTATTTCCCGTGAAGATTACATCATCCACATAAAAACAAACTACCATCATATCTCCATCTTCCTTCTTTTTTGAGAATAAAGTATGCTCGTACGGACTCTTCACAAATCCATTCTTCTGAAAGTATTCATCTATCCTCGTGTTCCGAGCCCTTGGAGCTTGCTTCAGTCTATACAATGCCTTCTTTAATTGATAAACTTTATCTTCTTCTCCTTTTTTAACATAACTTGGTGGTTGCTCAATGTAGACTTCTTCTTCCAGGTAACCATAAAGGAAGATTGATTTTATGTCCATTTGATATATCTTCCATTATTTTTGTGTTGCAACTACTGTAAGAAGCTTGATAGTGGCAATCCTTGCAACTGGTGCAAACACCTCTTTATAATCAACTCCATATTTATGCTTGTAGCGTTTAGCCACCAATCTTGCCTTGTACCTCTCCACCTTCCCTTCTTGATTGGTCTTTGTCTTGTACACACATTTTACTCCGATGGGCTTATGCTCCTTAGGCATAATTGTGAGTTCCCACATATCATTTCTTTTGATTGCAGCAATTTCTTCATTCATGGCTTTCTTCCATTTTTCATCTTGTATAGCATCTTCATATATCACTAGATCATATTCGGCTATCAAACAAAATAAGAATAATCAAGTGTAGTTTATACTGGATTTATAGCATCATAAATTTCACTTAAACTTCTCATATTTGCTGGTGCTCCCCCTGAATTACTGCTACTTCGTGATGTTGATGGTGTAGATGCAGGTGTCGTTATAGTAGGACTTGGTGTAGGATTTTGATCATTTTCTCTCTTGAACTTTATGTTCTTCTAAGTCATCATTATCTTTAAAGAATAAGCCTTCTACTTTCTTTTCTTCATCTCTTCATCTCCAATAATCTGTTTCGTCGAACTCTATATCTCTTGAGATGATTACCTTTTTGGGTAGAGGATTGTAGAGTATGTAACCTTTACTCCTATGCTCATAGCCAATGAAAATGCATTTCTCCCATTTGTCGTATAGCTTTATTTTCTTTTGATCTGGAATATGGGCATATGCTATGCACCCAAAGATTCTTAAATGACTTACTTCTGGTTTCTTGCCGCTCTATGCTTCATTTGGTGTCTTAAACTTTAAGCTTTTTATTGGACATCGACTCAATAAGTAGGTAACACAATTAATAGCTTCATCCCAATTAACAGCTTCAACCCAAAATATTCTTGGCAAGTGCTTTTCCTTCAACATGCTCTTTGCCATATCAAGAATTGTACAATTCTTTCTTTCTGCAATCCCATTTTGTTGTGGCGTGTAGGCGACTGTTAACTGATGAATTTTTCCATGTTGACTACAGAATTCTTCAAATAATTTGGAAGTGTATCCACCTCCTCTATATGTTCTAAATCTTTATATACTGACCAATTTGCTTCTCCACCATCGCATTACATTCCTTGAATTTGTCAAGGGCTTCTTATTTTTCTTTGATCAGATACACCCAAGCTTTTCTACTGAAATCATCAATAAAAGTTATATAGTAGTTGTTTCCTCCAAGTAATAGAATGTCAAACAGACCAGCTATATCCGAGTGAACTAGTTGCAATGGTCTTCTAGCTCTCCATGACTTGCCAACTTCAAAGTTTTGTCTGTGCTACT